TGTGTGTGTGTGTTTGTATATGATGAATCTATGGGAAGGAGAGATAATAGGAAAGAAAAAGGGAAATGAAGAGCTTAAATGGATATGATTGACTATAATATATGCTTAAAAACACTGCTTAAGTGAAATCAATGTACAATGAATATATACCAATAAATAAGGGCAGAAAATTGGCTTTCATAGCTAAAGGCACTTGCCACCAAGGCTTGTATCAGTCCCAAATATACTCCCCTGAACTGACATGGTAAAAGGAAGTAATCAAGTCCCACAAGATTTCCTCTGACCTCTACAAACATGCTATGGCACATGGAGAGAGAGAGAGAGAGAGAGAGAGAGAGAGAGAGAGAGAGAGCCTTATGTATGTAGCTGTTAACAAGAGATTCTGCTCAAAACTAAAAAGTAAAAGAAGGAAATGGACACCACTAAGGGAATGAGGAAGAACACTTAGAACTAGAGAAAACAATAGGCAAACTCTCTTCAAGAGCTTCAAAGCAGAATGGAGCCTGCCAACATCTTCCCTTTAGTCCATGGAGTCCTTTGTTAGATTTCTGACATCCAGGATTATAAAAAGATAAATTTCTTGTGTACAAGCAACAGAATTTGTGATAAATCGTTACAGAAGAAATACAAAGGTAATACCCAGATCTCAGCATTTGACATAAAATATGCCATACCAAAAGACTTAAGTGTCATTGAATTTTTTTTTTCTGAACTCTATACTTTCTAATCAGTGAGTCAGACGTGCTGGCTGTTTGGCAGATGGAGGAAGTATGCAAGTCTGAGGCTGTGGGCTGTGTAAGCAGCTGGAGAGAATCTGAGTGGTTTGTGTTCGAGTGTGAAGCATTGTGAGAGGATAACTCATAATACTGCTCACAGTAATAATCTGCCAGGTCTCTAGCCTGGACACTACTGATGGTGAGAGTGAAATCTGTCCCAGACCCACTGCCTATGAAGCAATCAGGGACCCCTGATTCTTGTGTGGATGCCCAGTAGATCAGCAGTTTGGGAGTCTGCCCTGGCTTCTGCTGGTACCAGGCCAAGTAGTTCTTGTTTGAACTTTTATAAAGACTCTGACTGGACTTGCAGCTAATGGTGACTCTCTGTCCTGCTGACACAGCCAGTGAGGCTGGAGTCTGTGTCATCATGATCTCCCCACAGGCACCTGCAATCAGGAATAGTCAAGGATCACACATACAAACACAGTGTATAATATAAAGAAGTTTAATTGTCATGTAAATGTCCATACTATAGTATTTTGTCAATATATTATTAATAAGAAAGATTATACCATTGGGCAGACTGTAAGTTTCTTATCTACAAAGATGTGAGTCTGAAGGGATTGCAATTCTTAAATTCCTCACCAGATATCCAGAGCAGCAGGGACATGAGAATCTGAGTCTCTGACACTATCTTGCTGCCCCTGCCTGTCTGAAACAGTTTAGTTCTTCTTGTAAAGGCTTTGTTTATAAATTCTGAGTATCTGGGCTGGGCCTGGAGTGGCCGATGCAGAGCAACCAGAAAATGAAGAAACAAATTGCCTGAGCAACTAGGTGTGACTGTATCTGATATAAATTAAGAGCCAAAAATGCCATCACAGAATGTGTGAGTAGTAGCAGGAAATGATCAGCTAACAACTCTCAGTACCAAACTGCTAGACGTTTTGATGGAATGCTTAGTTTAAAATTGAAGGCAATTTGAATCAGGTGAGTTTTGCAGAAACATTAGAAAAGCCATCTCAGATTGACGACCCTTGGTGAACAATGAACCATACTAGAAAATCACAAGGCGCAAATGAAGAGACACATAGGAGGAGTAGAAGATACCATGAACAAAGGAAAGAGAGGAAGGAGTTGAGAGATGGAAGGAGGAATCTAAACCTTCGGAGCCAATTGATTTTATTTTATTATTTTTATTATAGGTGTATGCATGTATTGCCTGCATGTAGGTA